GTAGAACAGCTTCCATCCATTGAGGTTGAGGAGTCCAGAGCCTGGGCGTTTTGTTGACGAGAGTCCAACAGTGTCGAGTTGGTACTTCGTGGCCTTATCAACTAATTCATGTTCATTTCCACTGAGTAAGGATATGTTCCAATTTCCGACTTTAAGCTCCCACTGGTGGTGTCGTCCTCGTGGAGCCTTTTCTGACGTGCTCTAATGGTCTCGCGTTCTTTGTTTCCTGCGTTCATAACGGTTAGTGACTCCGTCGGTCTACGTCAGCCATTGTCACGCTGCTAGGCTACCGGCTGCCAGAAGACGACGAGCAGTTTCTGATCGCTGACTTTCCGTTGGCTGCCTCACTCCTCCAGCAGCGTAACCCTGGTGACGACTGAGCCGGAATAATAGTCTATGGCAGCAGTGCCATGAGGAGTGGGCGGATAAATTTTACGGATAGCTCGGTACGGTCTGCAACCTTGCTCTTTTTTATCAGAGTTTTGGCCCGGCAGTGGCGGAATTGGGTTGAATTCGCTTACAATTTTACCTGCTTCTCAAGATTGGCGTTGATAAAACTGACTGATGAGTGATCTGCTAGTGGTAAGCAGTTGTAAACTATAAATAAGAAAGCTGAATGTCATATCATATCGGCTTTTAATATGAGGTAAGCTTGTTTGGTTTCTATTTTTAGAAGGACCTCAATCAAATTTTCTAACTTCCGGACTTTCGATGATACGTTTACAGCCGGTATGTTGGATCGGGTTCTGTTTACTGATGAGAAAAATACATCGTGATAACGAGTATGACCCGATTGTCAGCACGTACCATTTCGGTGCTTTATGTACGATATCAGCCATGATTATTGGGTTGTTTATGGACAACACGCGGACGTTCATAATGGAGATGGTCTACCAGAAGTTTTTATTTTTCTGGCCTATTTCGGCGGCGATGCTTATTTCTTCGATGGTCTATCACTTTCGAACGTTGCAGTTGGCCGCAGTGAGCCCTATTACAGTCATTGGTGTCAATACCTGCGCATCCGTGTTTGAAATCCTCCTCGAAATATTGATCGGATTTCACGATTTTTCAATGTATCAAATTATAATTTACATATTAACCGCAGCTTTTTCGGTTTGGTGTTTGATGGGTTTTCGAAGTAGTGATAAACAATGGAGGCCATAAGATTATGCAACGCATAAATTGTGTCAAATAAATTATTACAAAATCAGACTAATATGAACATATGTTCTGTTGTTAACAACAGCTCTAGTATTTAATTTCCGCCAGCATGAAGACGTCAATACCTTAATAATTTATGAAAGTTTCAGCTAATGGAAGCTTCTTGCCATCATGGTGGAAACGAAGTAGGCGCATTTCACCGAAATGAATTGAAGGACGATATTTTCATATTTTCTTCAACTTGATTATGTTATCGATATCAGTAAAAAACGCATCAGCTGATAACTATTATCTTACCGTAGTTATTTTATGGTTGAATCGTCTAATTTTGTCGATTTTCAAAGTCTAACTTCACGTCCCATCCGTCAGGAGCAGGTAACGTTGTGCATTAAAGGATGCTTGAAGGGCAAAGTATGCAAAGTATGGCGGAGCAGGTGCATGAATGCTGGCATGGACTGAAAACGAGGCTCTGGTAAAGCTCGCGTCAATCACCCAATTTTCCCGTTCACACATAAGGATGACAAACGAAAAAACTCGATTCGCGGCTTATTGTAACAAAGCGAATGGTGAAAGTCAAAAAGTTTGAAGTTTGGGAGGAACATGTAGGCGAATAAGCAGGTTTCATTGCCTATTGCGGCGCATCCTGGATCCTGTTTACTCAGAAACAATTTACGCCAGTCAAGGCTCCATGGAACTGGTGCCCCCAAAGTGGCAGATGCATCTCGCCCTCATTTCTTCTCGCTAAAACCACCTCATGCCCATCATGAATGATGTTTCAGGAGCTGATATTTCACACATGCACCATTTCATGCAATCTTTTAAATTATCATCACATGCTTAATCGAATCACCTGTGAATCATTGTTCTCGAAGTAATCCGCTAGGCAATTTTGTAATACAACGTTGAGGTGGAAACCCTGTCTGTTCCAGACTCCATTTGCCTTCCACCGAAGCTGAGGCTCTGGCACAGGATCGGAAACTTTGGAAGCTCTGTCTGACGTGTCTGCCTCTGTGACCCGAAAGGAGAAGCGGCGATGGAAGATGAAGATGTTGAAGATGAGGTAAACCCACAGACGGCCTTCAATATATGGAAACATGAGCAGCTACAACGGTTGCTAGGCAATTTTTTAAATATTTTTCTTCATTCTTGAGTAGTGTCTACAAAAGATTATAGGGCGTGGTTATTTAAAATAAGTATTGACAATTTCTAAATTACACATGTATCATATTTGGCCTTTAAAGAACTGAAAGGAATACACCGAGAGACAATTTTCTAAACCGGAACTTGGTGGAGGTCTTGGTCCTGTCAATTCTGTCAAACAAACGCATGAATAAATATATTGAATTTGAGCGAAGGAGGCACTGGAACGCAGTTATGAAAAATTTCCAGCTATCAAGGCTATTACCTCAGGGTAAAGCTTGTACCTGACCGCACGCATATATACTGTAGCATTCTTCAGAACATCTCCCTCTGAAAAGGCACCAAGCCATATCCGAAGCGTTGCAAAACGTCTACATAATTAATTCTATATGTGGTATCATTCCGCAAAAGACTAGTCGAATTTTAACTATAACATCGGTACAAACTATACTAATTTACCAACTAACGTGAAGCTTCGTGTTAGCGTCTGTGGATCATAAGAGAAAATTTTCAACCACACAAATCAAATGGCCTATAACAAATAAATACGAGTGATTCGCTTCTGACTGAAGTTCCCTAGAGTAATCATAAAACAAGACAGTGACAGTGAGTACGAGTGCTGATCGCATGTTTTCAGTGCAATTCCGCTTATGGCTGTTTGCATGTTCGACGGCTTTATGCTCAGACATTGACTCAAAAGTAGAGGTGTTCGTAGGCGATTGACTTGCTCATCTGCTCGCAGAGGACATGTGGACAGTGAGATGAGGCGAATGCGTCCAGGGCTGGCGAGGAGGAGGACAAATTGATGTAGTCAGCGGTCACTTGGCTTCGCTGGTTCAGCACCATGGACTGGTCGATGTTAGCCACCTTCCGCAAACTTTCGGTGCACGACGAGTGGCGGTCGTTGTTCTTGGATTTCTTCGGAGTTTTCAGGTGCATGAGGGTCGCTCTCGACTGGCTTCGCTGCGCGTGCGCCTTCCACTGCGACGAATCGTAAATCCATCCCTGTGCTTGAAGCTTCGCCGCCTCCACGCCACTGAAAATAAATGTCATTGAATATTTCTTAGGTGTTGTCAGAAAAAGTCAGGTCAATTGCATTGCCTACTCTTCAGAATTGCCAATGATTGAAATGAATATGCACAAACAATCATTCGCATTTATCCATTTTTTCTTCAGAAAACAATGGCTTTTATTACATAAAATTAAATTTTACTTTGTAAAGTTAAGTTTACTTTGAAAATAGCTCTCAAGGTGCATATTCAGAAATTATTATTTGAATATTTAATCGATGTTCTCTTGAGAAGCTTGTTTATGCGGTGAAAAAGACAAAATAGCTGTAAAGATTTAAACTGCTCTCCTTACACTCTACCATCTGGTTTTGACCAGTGACATCGAACCACCTGTTTTCTATATTTCTTATAAATGTGTCAAATAGTTAGTTAATTTTAAACCTGAATAACTTCGACCCTGTCTCACATTTCGTTATTACGGTACCGTTTATCGCAGGG